CGTAGTCAATCGCGAGCTTACCAGTCTATAGATATGAGTTGAGAAATCAGACTAGATAGCCCTAGTTGTTCCGGCCCGATCCCTATTTTCCCTCTACCGTTGGACATGGTTCGAAGGTACGTGATGGTGACTACTGAGGGTAGCACAGAAAGGAGCGCCTCTCCGTCCTCAACTCGCAGTAGAGGTGGTTCATTAAGCCCCATAGGAAATAGTGAAGACAAGAATGCGTCCCAATTTTCGAGTGCATCACACCAAAGCTGTAATTGTTTCGGGTGACTCGATTCGAAGGTCCTCAAGGCGGCCAAGTCACGAAATAGTTCCGGTAGAGTAATTTCTTCTCCTACCCCACCTTGCAAGCGCTGCATCGAGTTCACAGCTTGGAAATGAATACTACATCGGCAGGGGTCATCGAAGGGCGGTCTCATCGAAGGGCGGGCTCATCGAAGGGCGGGCTCATCGAAGGGCGGCTCATCGAAGGGCGGGCTCATCGGGGGGTTACTCACTTTCCGACAACGATTGCTCCGATGTGCTGCCGCGCCGGGCTATTGTCGTCCGGCCGCCTTACATAGGGGCTTCCACCTGTAGTACTATCATGATTTGGTGGTGCGAATGAAGGGAGATGTTCCGGCAAATGCAACTTGGTCGCCTCTTTCACCGGCTCAGCAGCACATGGAGTTTTCTTCCGCCGCCCTACGAAAAAGTCATCGTCCGTAGTAGTGAATTCTGAACTCAAAGCTACAGAGACATCGGACGAGGGAATCATGGTATGTTTTTAAATACCTTATTCCTCGGTGCCTTATTCCTCGGTGCCGCTGCGTACTTTTTCAAAGAGCCCTACAGACCACCCTTCTGCAATGGTATGTCGGGGGTGCCGGGGGTGATCGTGTGCGGGGATCTAATTTGCGCGCACACCATGTCACGCGTGGCTACGTCGTGATCCAAAGTGTTTGTTCTCAGACTGCATGTTGCCTATTCGGCCGGATGACGGGGACGACACTGTTCCGATAGTGTGTGCGGAGCCGCCGAACACGGACTGGCAGTACTCGAGGTATGAGGAGAGTGACGTGGAGACGGCAATGACTATCGACGGTGAATGGATTCTTGCGGCAGGAAAGAAGCCGAACCCGGAGGCGATCCCGATTTGTTCTAAGTGGTTGTCAACGCGGAGTAGCGAAATCACGAGCAGTAGTTGTATCAATTTATGTCGTTCATTGGCAACGACACAGTGTTTGGAAGTGCGCCAAAACTGGGTGTATGGACGGTGGCTGAGCACGACTGTAGACCTAGGGGGTGGCGGTTCGAGTCCGAACGGATTGTTTGACTGCGTGCACTCCAAATTGATTGGCTCGGAGAGGTACTGTACGGGCCCGTGTAAGAACCAGGGGAACGTGGAGGTATCTTGTTTGCTTGAGCGCGGTTACTGTTATAACCACGATGACCCGCGAAATCTCTACGACACGACCACCCCGGCGCCTGAGACCACCTCCTTTACGACTAGCACGACCACCTCTCCGAATGAAACCACATCCGAAGCCTACGTCGACGTGACCTGGGAACTCGGCATCATCGGCGGTGCCATGGCCAGCGGGGCCGGCATCGCGGCCGTCGCAGGCACCTGTTGCTACTGCACCCGAACCGCCGCCCAGGCCGCAACGGAAGGCATCCAAGACTTCACTGCGCAAGTCGGAGACGGACTCGACGATGCCGAACTCATGCTACGTCGTCAAAAATTCACCAAAGACATCGTCAAGGACGACCACACCATTCTCCGTGAAGAACTCGCACTGAGGGCCCATCGAAGCAAGACTCGCAAACGCCAACGCAAACGACAGCGGAACCCGCCCAGCAGCAATGAACCCAGCAGCAACGAAGACAATGACGAACCAGCCACCCCCTAGGCGCCATCAACCGACCCTAACGGGCGTGTTAAGCATTGGCACTGGGCATTGGAGGTGAGCGTTCCCGGTGACCGTCCGCGGTAAGCGTTGGCAGCGGACATGGGCCAGACACAAACGAGGAGATCACGTACTAACGTCAGGTGCCAACCGGTCGTTTGGATGAGCAGGTTATTTACTTGATTAGCAGGTTATTGGGGGCCGGGCTGGAGGGCCACCTTTGATGCAGTATTTTTGGTTGAAAAATCATGGCGTCGCGCTCCTCCATGCTCAACAGGCCCGGGCCCCTAGAGCACATTGAGCTCGGCCCGGGCGAGCGGAAGATTGTTCTGGATGTGGACCACCGAGTTAACAACTGCATCTCAATGTGCATAAACAAAGAAGACCACACGTTGGGAGGACTTATGCGAAAGTACACACACAGTTTGACACAACACACAGTTTGACACAACACACAGTTTGACACAACACACAGTTTGACACAACACACAGTTTGACACAACACACAGTTTGATATACGGTTCTTTCATAGCCAATTGCTCCGCGATCCTGGCGTTTGCTTCGCTGGTTACCGAAACCCTCATCCATTAGAACCCCGAATTGAAGTTCGATGCCAGACAAATGAAACTGCTCAAGGCAACGACGGTCCCATCATAGCGGTCCATAACGCTTTAATAACGTTGAGAGAGGAGGCCTCGAACGTCATGGACCAGGTTGTTGCTCAAGAAGCAAAATGGGCGCATCAAGCATAGACACAAAAGGTGTAGGCCGGACAGACATAGGTTCGCATGTGGACCGACAAGGTCCGGAAGAGTAGATCGGTAAGTGGAGCAGATCGGTAAGTGGAGTAGACCGGCAAGTGGAGTGGACCGGTAAGTGGAGTAGACCGGTAAGTCGAGTAGACCGGTAAGTGGAGTAGACCGGTAAGTGGAGTAGACTGAGTGGAAAGGTGTAGACGGAGAAGAGGCTGGCCGAGAAGAGGTTGGCAGAGAAGGTTAGACAGTGTACGTAGAACGACAGCTTAGCAAGCACAGCCTCGTATATGCGGGCCGGCATCCCTAGTCTAGACGGGTTAGATTTGGCAGACTAGTTTGGGGCGATGCTTTTTCAGCAATAAAATGGTACATAAGGATTGGGAGGATGCGATTCTGAACTTTACCAGCGATGTAAGTTGCCGCCTTGTTACTGGTTTGTTACTGGGGCACGGGAGTGTTGCTTGGCACATGCCGGGGTGGTAGATACATGCCGGGGTGGTAGATACATGCCGGGGTGGTAGGTACATGCCGGAGTGGTAGGTACATGCCGGGGGTGGTAGGTACATGCCGGGGTGGTAGGTACATGCCGGGGTGGTAGGTACATGCCGGGGTGGTAGGTACATGCCGGGGTGTCAGGATATGTTTTGGTAGCCGAGTGACGAGAGTTTTTCCAAGTTGAGTGAGGCGTTGCCGTTCAGTTCGTTATGTCAGTATTTGACTTTGGCTGAGACAAGTGTGCCGATGGTAGATCTGATGATGCCGGTGGTGGAGAAGGCGATGGAATTGGAGAGTGCGGTGGCGGCGTATATCGTGCGTCCAACGATGACGCGGATTTGTGAGTTGGCGGATGAGCCTATTCTGGAGCCGTTTGTTGATGGTATGGATCAGTTTGAAGTGGCGGAGGGGTATGTGGGTATGGTACGATCTTGGTCGTATTCGGAGTACTACCCGGAGCGGCGTAGCATTTTGAAGAAGGTTTTAACGTATATGTTACAAGTGTTGGGAGGGACGGCATTGTGTGTGCCACGTTATCCCCGACTGCAAAAGGGTGTGGAACGGTTCGGAGAGTGGATAGCGGGTTTGTGGTTGAATATGTTGGACGCGGAGGACACACAAGTTGCGATGAATATGATTAACTTATTGCAGGACTTCGGGGCGGTGCAGTATGTGATTCCAAAGGCGGAACACTTCTCGACGGTAGTGGGATTGCGAGATTTTGATGACATGCTTAAACGCTGGCACCGCAGGGACCTGACTGCGGACGAGCTGGACTCAGTAAACCTCTGGAAGGTCTCGCTTCCAGCCACTCTGTTGTCGCGCTGTGAAGGACAGGCCACCTTGCTGGGCGACGTCGATGTCTCCACTTGTCGTGTGAGAGCCGGGATTTGCTTGATCCGGATTGCGGACAGCAGTCCAATGCTGCAGGCCATCGCCGACAACGAGAACTGGCTAGGCGTCATCCATCAGCACCTTTACCAGAGCTCGGACGACCTCCTCAAACTTACCGCAGCCGAGGTAATTATGACCGAACTACTCGAATCCCCATGGGGATGTGCCGCCCTTTTCCGGGCCAACATGCTCCACTCAATTTTGAAGGAAATCCATGAACCCACTTTAACTGAACTGACCCGAAAAGCCATCCTCAGACTCGTAGCCAACGTCTATGAACGAGTACCCGCCAGCAGAACCGTCATGGAAAGGGACGAGCACGCCGAGGCCTACTTTAACCACCTCAAGGACCGTCTGCTTTCCGGCGACGATACGCCTCTGGCTGTCTCCTGCGTAGGCAGCTTCGCCAGTGGCCTCAATCCCTGCGGTTGCCACGTCATCCGTCAAAAGCTGCCTGAGTGGCGCGCAGTGTTTCTCAACCTTCTGACTACCGGTGATGAGCACGAAGCCACCGCCACCATCATGGCCCTCCTCCGCATGGCCGCGGGTATCCAAAGGGAGAGCACCATCGTCACAACCGCCAATTCCTTCGATACAGTCCACGCAGAACCGGCCTCCTTGAGTTCTGATCTGGGCTTGGCTGCGGCACAGACTGATCCGGAAGAGGTGGAGGCTGTGGACGCCGTACTCAAAACCATCGACGAGGATATGACTCCCGTCCTCATCACTGTCACCTACCGCAAACCCTGGCCCACCGCCCGAGTCCTCATCTTCAAAGTGTTCGAAGCTCTCATGGTCAACCACGCAAAATTCGAAGCGGCCCAGCTCTATGCCTCAGACCCAGACCTCATGGAACAGCTCTTCAACAACCCCAGCGACAATGTCAACGAAGTCATGGCCGCCAAACATCACTACATCAAGAGGCTGCGCCTGCTCTACGACCGCACCACCTCCCCGGAGTTTGCTGAGTGCCTAGAGTTCTGCGCTTCGCACGGGGTCTATGACATTCCACCCATGTACCAACGTAAGACAGCCAGTTGTATCAACACCCTACCCATAGTGCACCCTGTTGTGTCCACACCATCAACTCTTCTTCACATGTTGTATTTGATTTCCGTGTTTCACGTTCGGAGTTCGCAGAGGCTGGGGCGGCTCTGGACGAGCAGACAGCTCAGTAAGCACGTGCAGACAACGCAGCAGGCTCACGTTAGGTCCTGCGGCCATTCTGTCGCGTTTTTAAAACCCGTATGAGGACCATAACGGCGGGTGCGGCAGAGGGTGTTGGGGGATGGGCGGCGCTGGCAGGGGTGATGAATGCAGACGGAAGCAGGCCGCCGTTGGGCAACTGTCTGGCCCGAATAGTGACTGTCGGCATCCCGGAAGAAGAAGAAGGCGCCCCCCACGTGAAGCCAGCCCAGCTCGTTGTTTTGGCGCCTGCTGAGGTGTGGGCGAGATTTGAGCAAGACGTCGTCGGCGAGAGCTCGAGAGACATCGTCGACGAGAGTTCGGGAGATGCAAGAGACATTGGGCAGGGCTTGTCCAGTGACCTTGGTTCAGGAGATGTCGGTCTAGGACACGTCGTCGTCGAGAGCTCGGGAGATGCAAGAGACATTGAGCAGGGCTTGTCCAGTGATCTTGGTTCAGGAGATGTTGGTCTAGGACACGTCGTCGGCGAGAGCTCGAGAGACATCGTCGACGAGAGCTCGGGAGATGCAAGAGACATTGAGCAGGGCTTGTCCAGTGGTCTAGGAGACGTTGAGCAGGACTTGTACAACGTGCTTGGTTTTGTCAAAAACGTCAGTCGACTAGCAATTTATCGCTCGTGTGATAAGTCTGGCGCGTACACGAAACATCTAGTGGCTAGTGCTGTGAAAGACGACTTGCTAAGTATGGGCCTGGATCGCACCCACCCCCTGGAGTATGAGGTGGTTTGTGATGAAGTTTGCGGGGTCAAGCTGGCCGCAAGACCTGCAGAAACCAGCACAAATGCCAGGTTGCGTGTTTTAGCGATTGCTCCCCCGGCGTCGGAATATGTGAAGAAGTACTTAAAGGACGTGCCTGCGTCCTGGGAAAAGGCGTTGCAAAATTCTGCAGTACCATTGAAAGAAATTGATGCTAAGAAATACCACCGTTGGGTCCGGAATTCACGACTGAAGAAAGCCGGCTGTGCCACAGGAGCGGTCACGGCGGTCGTCGCTAGCGGGGCCGCAGGATTTTTCTTTTGGCGCTGGTTCTTGTCCGTCTTGCCAGGTGGCACCGAGCTGCCACTGTAGCAGTTGAGGCGGCGCAATAGGCAAGTACGTCAGGGGACATTTTTACTTTACACGGCGGAGAGGTGTTGCGGCGGCTCCGTCGCATTTTCAAATTCTAAGAAGCTCTGGCATGAGGACGATAACGGCAGGTGTGGCAAGCGGTGTTGGGGGATGCGTGGCGCTCGCTGGGACTATGTACGCAGATGGAAGCAGGCCGCCACTGGACAACTGTCTGGCCCGAATAGTGACCGTCGGAATCCCGGAAGAGAGCGGCGTCCCCCACGTGAAGCCAGCCCAGCTCGTGGCTTTGGCGCCTGCTGAGGTTTGGGCGATGTTCGAGCAAGACGTCGTTGGCGAGAGCCCGGGAAATGTAAAGGACGTGGAGCAGGGCTTGTCCAGTGAGCTTAGTTCTGGAGACGTTGGCGCAAAAGACGTAGAGCAGAACTTGTACAGCGTGCTTGATTTTGTCAAACACGTCAGTCGACTGGCAATCTATCGCTCGTATGAGAACTCTGCCGCGTACACAAAACATCTAGTGGCAAATGCTGTGAAAGCCGACTTGGCAAGTATGGGCGTGGACCGCGCGCACCCCCTGGAGTATGAAGAAGTTTGTCTTGAAGTTTGTGGAGTCAAGCTGGTCGCAAGACCTGTAGAAACCAGCACAAGTGCCAAGTTGCGTGTTTTGGCGATTGCTCCCCCGGCGTCGGAACATGTGAAGAAGTACTTAAAGGACGTGCCTGCGTCCTGGGAAAAGGCGTTGCAAAATTCTGCGGTCCCACTGAAAGAAATTGATGCTAAGAAATACCAGCGTTGGATCCGGAATTCCCGACTAAAGAAAGCCGGCTGTGCCACCGGAGTAGCCACTGCGGTCGTCAGTACCGGGGCCGCAGGTTTTTTCTTTTGGCACTGGCTCACGTCCATCCTACCAGACGGCCCCGAGCTGTCCCTGTAGCTACAGCGAGGTGTGTGTGTCCGCCGGTTCGTGGGGCTGACGAAACTGCGATGCTTCCATCTTATTTCTTTAGCGGGTGTCGCTGCCATGTAGGCAACGATCCTCGTTGTGCTTTTCTGGCAGGTTTTTAAGAGTATACAACACACTGTAAGAGTTACGCGAACAAGTCACGGTCTGGAGCTGTTCTCGGTTTTCTTCCACTCGCTCCTTCGGCTTCGCCTCCACCGACAAACTCCCCACCTCCGAGAACATTTGGGAACGTGCCAGACTGTACTCCAGCATACGCCGCAGCACCAAGCACAAACCGATGACGGTAGTATTCTGGTCGCTGGGAGTCTCCACGGGAGCTGTGGTGTGAGGCACAGCCGGTTGGATAAAAATTGTGCGAGTGCATGTCAAAGGTGTGGTAGTCAGCTCTTCCGCAGTTGTGCTTGCAGTCAGTTCTACCGCGATTGCGGTGGTCACGATGTCACTAGCGGGAGTGCTCGTCTGTTCACCAGTGGGAATCATGGTCTGTTCTCCCGTCGGAGTACTGGCAGTCGTGGTAGTCTACTCCCCAGTGGGAGTGGTAGTCTCAAGAGTTGTTACAGCAGGTAGTGGTAATCTGCTCAGGAGCCTTGCCGAATTCCTAGTTGGGTCAGCGTCCGCGGAACGAACCACGTCCGCGGCCACGTCCTCTTCCACAATCTCGGTGGTATGTTCAGGAGCGGGCGGAGTTGTAGTGGTAGTCTGCTCAGGAGTGGGCGGCGTGGTAGTAGTAGTCTGATCAGGAGCAGGCGTGGTAGTGGTCTGCTCAGGAGCGTGCTCAGGAGCGGGGTGGTAGTGGTCTCTTCAGGAGCGGGCGTGGTAGTGGTCTCTTCAGGAGCGGGGGTGGTAGTGGTCTCTTTAGGAGCGGACGTGGTAGCGTCCGGATCGGTGGTGCACGGCTTAATAGTCATAATAGGTAATACGATAAGGACGCTTATGAGGTTATAATGGTTGGATTCGCCGCACTGGTCGAACTAGTTTGCTCATCCAATGTTGTGCTGATCGGTGGCTGGGTAGCGTGAGTACCACAAGTGATTGCTTCAACCGCTCCACAGTCCCAACAACCGTATTTGGATCGTTTGTCATGCGGTAGCTCCGTTTGCAATATTTCTCTGTACAATTTTCTAAGCATCCTTTCCCTGGCGCACAATTCCCAACATCACCTTTCGGGCGGACACCAAGGAGTGGCAGGTTGCCAAAACTATAGAGAACGTAACGTGTGAGAACATGAAAATATCATGTGCCGCGCTAAGAAGGGATTGTTTTCCTGCGAGCTTAGAAAGACCGCACAGTCGATGGTCGTAATGTGGTGGGGACGTCCGCGGGGCTATAATGTCGCAAATAATGGCCTCATAGACTAATGTACTCTGGCAGCGAATGCACCGCCAGGGATGCGGAGCGAAGGCATTTTGCTGTTTTTCAGACAAAAGTGTGTGCGCACAAACACACGTATAAACATAAACTTCAGGACTATTATTGTGATGTTATTGGAGGCAGAATTATTTCGGAAAATAGTGATTTTTTACGTAGCAGTGGCGTTTTGGTGAGGGTCTCGCGGCGTCTTGTATATAGAAATTGTAGGGTTGTTGTCTACCCGTCACGATCGGGTTGCGTTGGGTTGACCAGGGGGGTTGCTTGGTGTGGCGGGTCGCGCCCTAATTTAATTTTGTCCGACATAATGGACTCATGGAAGGGGATGGGCGAGGCGTACGCGGAATCCTTTGGTATGGACGCGGCCCGTGAAATGCGTGAGGCTCAGGCCAATCCCTGTGTAAGAGTGGTGAGGAAAAGGCGACCGGACTTGCCGTTGGAAACGGGTCTGACCAGAATGACGGAGGGGGACCTGAAAGTCTCTAGACCGAATCTTGTAGGCGACATAGTTGAGAAAACCGTCGTCGTAGATATGGGATTCTTTCCGAAGGTGGCCGCTGGGGATATTTTGACAACCCGTGGTGACGTGTTTGCGAAGAAATGTTCGAACTCTGTTGAGGAGAATGGGATTTCTGACGGACCGCCGTCGAAATTATCGTTCTCAACGACATTAGACCAAGACATGATGATCCCGTTAAGCCAAACGCCGGGCTCCAGGGGTGTAACGAACATAAAAGACGCAAAGAGCAAAGAAGATACCAGGAGCAAAGGAGATACCATGAATCAAGGAGCTATGGAGTACAAGGGAGCAATGGAGAATAAAGGAGAGGTGGAGAACAAGTGGCGTGTGGATAAAACACAAATCAGTGCGGGAGATGGCATCTGCCCAGACATATCAATTGGTGATCCAACTGGTGATCCAACTGGTG